TCAGCGGGACCAAGAACTGCACAGCAATAGTTGCCACGGAAGCCTCTTGCAGATTGCCATGACCCCCAGCCTGCTGTGTGCCATTCAGAATCTGGCACTTGCCTCTGGTACTTGTGGCCTCACTTTTCAGGGCAAAGACCTTCTAGGGCAACACCAGAATTCTAAAATAGCCAGCTCCTCCTGTAAGTTGGCCGTGGGAGACTGTGATAACTTAGTGCAGTGCCATGCTGTGACCCCTGGTGTCACTCTCAAATCATGCTGGAACATTCGCGCAAATGTAAATCCCACTGATGTCAGAAGGCAGCTATGAGGAAACCTCAGTCGTCACTGGTGAGTATGGAGTTGAACCACTATAACTGTAAAAGTGGGGTTAGAGATGCCCTCTTCTTCACTAAAGAATTAATATATAAATGCGTACATAAATGGCTGTAGCACAGACACATCTAATATAAACGACATTCCAGGATTTTACAACTTGCCTGTAAACATCTGCTTCAACGAAGATGGGATATAAAACCCCAGTCTGCTATTGTGTTCCTTTAAAAAAAGAGGGGAAAAGAACTACATGATTTTTTAGAGTAACAAACAGACATCCTAGGTGCTTTCATCCAGTTGGCTACATTATTCTGGTTTTTATAATGCGATATTGGGGCTACAGTGTGTTCTGACACAGCCCATCTAGCAAGTACTTGCAGCTTGCCTAACATTTCCAAGAGTAGACACGCAACAGCAAACATGGTGCCCACAACCTACCCTCAGAGCGAAATGCAACTTTGCCAACAGCAGGGCCAATCAACTATTGGCCAAGGGTTGTAGCCAGTTATAGGTGACACTCTCTTGGACAAACCCATCTAATTTGTGATTCATCCAATGTCTGATAAATATTATGCTCCTTCTTACAGGAGTTTTTCGGATCTGGAGTCCTCAGCAACAGCAGAGCCTCCCTCCAGCTGCCAGCTGTTCTGCATACACAGGCATCTAGTCTTTTCACTATACATATATGAATCTATACAGTCAGAAGCCTATTACTACAACCCATCTCTAAGAACAAAAAAAAAGCCTGTTTTGTTTTATAAAAAGGGTTTCCAGCTTACCAACAGGGCTCAGCTTCTAGACATAAAACCACACGGATATATGAAACCACAATACAAAACCCATCACCTTCATGACAAGAATATTGTAGCAATAAAAGTGCATCAGCTCTTGAAATCCTGCACTGTTTGGTGATCTGCTCCAGTGAGGTTCTGCAGAGATCCATTACCTCTAGAGGCTATGGTCTGGACCAAGCAGCAACACAGAGAAACATGATCTCTGTCAGCCTTCACATGACACTTACAAAACGAACACACAGCGCAACGTAACTGACTACTCTTGTTCAAAACCATCAGATGACCGAATGTGCACAGCTGTATAATTACTCTTTAAGCAGATAGTTTTCTTGGTGATTTGGAAAAGTGGGAGAACCCCACTCCATCAATACACACTAGGCAACTGACACAAAATCCAGCCAAATGCTAACAGGAATTAAAACAATAAAACTAGCTATTTCCATTAAAGCTCTCTTTGAGTGCAGAATTCTTAGTTGGTAAGAACATCACTACTTCTGGTGTTTATATTCAACGTTATTCCCCAAAGCAACATTCAAAGCTATTCCCCACTGCAAATTACCTCTGACCAGTGGTTTTCCAGTGAAAAATGTTCACTTTTGAGAATGCTAGGTTAATATAATGAATATGAGATTTGAAACGAAAACATCAATTGGAACTAAACTTCTGAAACTGTCCAGTAGCATTGCTCAGCATCTAGTCTTACTAGAAACAATACCAAGCTCAGTAGCAGCAACAACTAAGCAAAGTTTTCCTTGAAGATGAACGGTCAAAGCTACACATAATTGTTCTAGTATTGCTTACCTCTCAGTAGAGTGAGAAATTTCTGTTTGCTCGCTTTGTCACTTGGCATTTGTTGTACATTGGACAACTGACTGAAGAGGTATCTGTACATTTATGCTCACTAAAGATACCAGACCTTTAATTTAGAGGCCAACTTGGGCTTCTTTTTAAATATGGGGCTTTAATGTTCAAACGCCAGATCTGAACTTCATATTAAGGAACACAGTTATAAAACCTGCCACATGGCAAAAGTGCCAGTGCTGCTTCTTCCCATATTTCTGCACTGCGTCCTGTCCCATCATATTTTTTCAGATGAAAAATTTTTTTATAATATCTTAACTTTCAGTATTGCATACAATAATCCACAAACAAATCTGCTTAAATCAGAGGACCATAAATTCACAAATAGTGTGAGACATGGTTTTAGGAATGTGTGTCAGACTGTGTCAGTATTATAATATGCAGCACTAATAACTAACCTGCACATTTTCTGTGGCATGCTCAACATTAGTCAACCTGCCCTTTCATTGAGCTGAAGGTAAGGTAGACATTTTTAGGTGGACAATTAACAAAAGTAAAATGAGTTGACCCTAGCATCAATTTCTCTTCATCAACTATGTTTCTCTGACTGGAACCCATGCAGACATCTACACTAAACGACAAGAGGAATCTTATCCTCAATATATGAACATGAAGCGTTTCTTTCTCTGGGATCCAAGTTCGTACTTCTATTAACTGAGATTCATTGCATAGCCTTATTAAAGTTCCGCTAGAAGGCTACTATAGTCCTTAATTGTATTAATTTTAGGATATGCTTTTTAGAAGTGTTTTAGAAAAGTGGAGCCACTTTCTCTGTTTTGAGGTTTTTGGGAGCTTTGTTGTTTGGAATTCTTCACAGGTGATTGAAGAAGTGAAATACTGTAAAATCCAGCAGAGCTGTAAAACATTACAGGGTTGTAAGTTCTGATCAGTTCCCACTCTTCCAAACATGCAGCAGGAAGGAGTACTGAGAAGGGATTACGGAGAGGTTAGTTAAAGAATTAACAGTATATAAAACACCGTCTGATTAGAGGTATCATGTTCAAATAGTTACCTAAACCTGCTGCTTTTTCAGTAAGTTTAGACCTTGCTGTGATAACATGGCAGTAGACAAAAGCTTGCACTCAGCTGTAAATGTGAAAGCACAAACTTTTTTGACAGTGTCAAATTCATGCGGTTTCCTGAAGATATTTATCAGACAGGAAGGACAATAGGATAGAGTAAACTTAAAAACAACAAAAGAATAACATGTAAGGTAGTAACTATGCCTAAGTTATGGAAATAAAATACAGCTCTTAAAGAACTGAGATTTATCACAAAAGTTGACTCTACATGGTAATTATACATTATTTATTTGAAATACATAGCTCATATAATTATACACCGTAACTAAAAAAAAAAATTACAAAAACTAGCAGTGCATTTAAATGGTTAAGAAACTTCTGAACTGCTCTTTTTCCTAAGAAAAGATGTTCTTAGGTTGCAGCTACCCTGAAAAAATAGCTTTAAAGCATTTGAGTACCTTTAAAGAAAGTATTTCTAGCTCAGCAGTACATTAGTATGTCCTTGAGGACAGAGCAAGACAAATACATATCACATATCACTGTGCTCTTAGAATTAACAGCAAGGGAGAACAACAATGATAGTGTAACTCCTAAGAAAGAGGGATTCTTCAGAAATGGAAAGGTGCACTGTTTGAGAGATGCTCTGCTCTCTTGTGAGACTTCTATACAATAGTAGCATGCTGCACTGCTGGTACCTTAGAGAGGGATATATCCTTCAAAGCTTTCCTTTGAGACAACTTTTGGGACCTTTTCTCACAAAGAGGGTCAGAGCCACAGACAAAAGATTAGATGTATGAAAAGATTTCTTGAAGAGGAGAGACAGTTGTGAAGAGGACCATACAGCTTAAATTATGGAGTAAGAGGGTATTCAGCAGATGCATATTAAAGAAAGAAAGATACAGGGAAAACAGGCACTCTGTATTCAGTCCGTATTCTAACTGACTTTTAAGGAAACTAAAATGTAACAGCACATAATTAACTAGTGGAACCTCTGGCTTTACTAAGCTTGGAAAAGGAATTCAAAACATTGTAAAGACATGCTTCCCATTCATTTTAGAACAGATATTTCTTAATACTTCTCACATAACACCTTCCACTTTTTAATAAAATTATAATTGAAAGCACTATAAAAGCTACAGATCTCTTACCATTATGATTTGGTAATCAAAGACAGAGTATAAAAACATTCTGTGTTTTATTAGAGAAGGAAATTATGTTTACATTTCATGGCATGTCAAACAGTGGCTGAGAAGGGACGAGGAAGAATCTTTCCACTCCTTTTCCCCTGCCTTCCCTGGACAACTTGTTCTGACAGCCTGTTCTGGAGTTCCATCCATCATCCTCCAAATCACCCTCCAACAGCCAAGATCTGATGCAGCATACCAAACTGCATGACACGTTACGACACACTCCTACATGACCACGCTAAGGCACTTGCAAACTTGCATGCACTTACAGAACTCATTAATAAAGTTTTCTTTAGAGACATCCTCTTCAAATTTAAGATTCCACACGCTGCTTACAGTGTAGATGGTCACCAGAATGGAATTTAACTATCTTAGCCATTTGAAAAATATTGCCATATCTCGGACATTTAACAAGGTTTCTCCAGATTTTATATGGGTCAAAGGGAGGGAAAATGCTTCTAAGATACTTTTAAGATAATGCTTCCATTCCACTTGGAAAGGAAATTGCCTTTTTGACACCTAAAGCCACCAAGTTCTTGATCTGCTTTTCTTCAGGTAGAGAACCCATTAAGTGATGAACAACTTCTGAAAGAGGGTTATGCACTCTTTACGCTTTAAGCACATAGCCTCAGATTCTTCCAGCTACTTTGAATGTTTTTGACATGTGAATCAGCCACGGGCCCTTGACTGCAAGAACTACAGAGTACAGTACTGAGAGGTAAAGGCAAAGCATGCTGAACTCATGTGACTCAGTTTGTGGATGTGGGGGCATTACTCTGGCACTTGAGGGAGTTGTTAGAGAATTCTGTGGTATTTTTCAGGATGCTTTGAAGAGCACATGGAACAAAAGCCCGCAAATTTCAGGTAAGTATCATTCTCCTGAGATTCATTTAAAAAAAAAAAAAAATCAGAACTTCCCATCTTGCCTGCTCTAACAGCAACATTTTCTCTAAGGTCATCACCAGATGAAAAGAAAGTTTTGTTTACCTTTCAGTCTACTCAGACAAGATAGATTTTGTTTTGGGAAGATGTTTGGTTTGTAATGTAAAGTGCTCATTGAAAGATGTTTATGTTTTCTCTGTATGTAAGGTTTTCCAGAGTCTGTGGTGGTGTCATAACATGTATTTCATAGCATACTCATACAAGAGTAGGCTGTTTACATTACTACGCAAGACCCTGTAACTACAATAAAAGCTGCAAAAAAAGCAATGCTAGCCATAGTGCAGCAAGGCTTGCGTTCTGATAATGCTAACTCGGCATTAAACACTTACTCTGTGTGTAACTTGGAAAAAGGCTCTTCCCCAAAATTACAACTAAACTTCATTCTTTTCACGCTTTTTTGCCACAAGAGAGAAAAGAAAAGGTTGATAGGAATAAAGACATGTTTAGATAGCATGTATTCTTTGACTAAAAGTCTAACTTCTCAGTTACAAAGGAAGCACGGAACACTCTTTAACTTTGTATTTTCATCACTGATTCAAAAAGTTAGAAAAAGATAATTCCTAAATGAACTGAAAAAAGCGAATTTCCTAAAACACAGTGCAGGAATGATATTTTTATCAAAATGAAGTCTATAGCAAAAGGAGTAAAATTCTCCTCTTAAAAACTCAAGCATCAAGTTCTTTCTCAGAAGTTCAGACTAACTTCCCCATACATTCTTCTACTTATAAGACTGATACTTAATAAACCGTATTAATTTGTTTATGTCCAGAGACCTAGAAATGCCAAGCTCATTTGCTTTGTGTATACACATTTACTAGAACAGAAATCCAGGCTCCATTTACCAGAACAGAAATCACTTTTTCTTATTACAGTGCAGCATGCTGGTTGTTGTATTGGTTGCCATTACTACATGAGAAATAAAGTAATTTCTTATATTATTCCTGCCCAAACTCATTGTATTGTAGTTCTACAATACCTGAAGCATGAATATACAATATTGCTTTTAAGTATCTACATTGGTTGAAGAGCTTGGTGATTTCTGGAGGAAATGTGGCAATAGAAAGACCAGAAGGATAACAAAAAAATCTGTAATTAAAATGACATTTTGTAGAGCATGTGACAGAAATCACACAAAAATCATTCCACAGAAATGCTAAAAAACTCTGAGATATAACTAAGTCACTTAGATGCAGTTTTAGTTTAAATGTGGACTTGCATATGATATAGGTGATCATCTATCTATGCACCCCCCCCCGAAAATCTGTAGATAAGGTACAGAAATGATAACTATCATTGGATAAAACCCACTACAGATTAATGAAAAAATCTGAACAAATCATGAACTGCCCAAGAAAGGGTACACAGTTCTGACAGTTCCCTTAGTACAGATGGTGGGAGTAAAACATATCCACATGATAATCACATCCTTACCAAAATTGAAAACGTATGTGAAAGTCATGGTGGTCTTGCAAAAATATAAACTCATAAACGATTTCTTGATTTGGTGTCATCATTCATTTCTTCCATTTGAAAAATCAGTTTTAGTAGGACGTACAAAGATTGATGGCTTTTTCATAAAAGGACATTTTATGAAATAGTGAAATGTAGCATATTTCTACCTGATAAATGCAGAGACCTGTAAACTTTGAACCCACGCTGGCCTTTGTTGCTCATGACCCTGTTTAAGTGATTTATTTTCTTTTAACAACTGCAGTCTGCAGGAGGTAGAATATACTGTGTATATCTTTAATCCTGTTGAAAATTGAACAGTTTAAACAGAACGGCTGACATTAGAAGACCTATTACTGAAAAGCCATATTATCTTCATTTCAGTATCCCTTTTAGGAGCAATATTTATTGTTGGAGTAAATATGCAATCTATAAAAACTGTCTGGTAGGCTGCTGCAGAGCAATGGAGGAGTTGGCATCCTTGGCCCCGCATCAGGGTATCTGGTGGACTGCATCGAAGCTGGATACTCTGGAAACCTAGCATGTGTCAAGGTATAAAATCAGGAAATTTGCCTGTGGTCTGCAAGAACATCTTGAGGGAACTGAACACTCCCTACCCTTATGAAACATTTGGATGTCAAAGATTTAGCAAATTCCAAGGAAATAATACTCTGCTAGTATTTTTCTGCCAGGCTCTCAATACAATGGCAGCTTTATCTTTCACTCAAACGAATTCAGTTTCTTCCTTGCCCTCCCTTCACTGCTTTTTATTTATATTTTGTTAATGTGCAACAAAGTCAAAGTGCACCACAATCATACTTGCTACTCCTTGGTATGATTGTGACCATGGAAGTTAAGCAGATCAGTCCTCTTACATGTGCGCTGAGAAATCATCTCAAATCCAAAAACATTTTCCATACAGAGAGTCCAACTCTGTTTCACAACAGTGGGGACTCATGTTAGGTAGTTTCCCCAGTAGCATGCCACGCTACTGCTCTAATAGTCTTCATTAAATGACTGGCCTATAAAATCTTAGCAGGCTTTAATATGTGTCTCTGCACTATCACATAGTGCCCAAAGTTCCATCTTATAAAATGAAATTGAGATGACCAGTGAAATGAATTATGCTTTTTTAGTTCTGTTTTGAAGTTGCTCATTCATGAAACAAGTTTCTTGGGCTAAGCAAATTCCATATTTGTGAAACATCTCATGAATATACGGTGCTGTAGTAAAAATAATAAATGTTTAAAGCTCCTCTATTTTTCTTCACTCTTCATTATTAGAGATAAATCTTATGAAGCAGATAAAAGTATTCCAATTAATTCCTCCTGAACGGAGACAGTATGTACTATTCTTTTCAATACAAGAGAAACTGGCTTTGACCAGAGTGGCAACAACAGGCAAACTGATTTTATAGTTTTGATTTATTGAATATTAGGAAATAGACTTTTTTAATAACAACTCCATTTAAGTATTCATTAAAATGGAATTAGTACAAGCAGGGCCAGATTCTGATATCCATATTCTTGTCAGACAGCATTTTATTACAGAAAAGTCTCACTGACATCAGTGGGATTATTTGTAAAAGACCATTCAGCATGAGCGAGAACACAGAGCTAGGTCCTAACAGGGTACAGAGAACGACAGAGGTTTTAGGTACTCCTCCCTGGCCCTGAAAGCGCCCCACACACCCTTCAGCAATGGCTGGAGCAGCATGTAATGGTGTGCCTGAGGCATCTCATCTACCCTGCTGTGCATCAACTCCTGGATCTCACCAACACAAATACATGCCTCACATATACTGCCCCCAGTATATGGGACGTGAAATATGTATGTTCATCCTCACAAAGGAAATAATTCCCAAAGGCTGATTATTTAGATATTTATCTTCATAGTTCTTTCAGTCTGAGCAAGTCTGACCTGAAGAATGCATAGCACATGTTGCCATAAAAGCACCAGAAAGATGAATTTTGATTTACAAGAAAAATCACTCAGAAGGAGAACAATAGGGGGCTATAGAAATGGATCTCATTGAAGGATCAAGGCTGCATACTTTATTTCTCTATATTACACAGAAGAAGACAAGACCATGTGGCAGTTTTGCTTCGTACAGTCCTGATTTAAACATATATATAAACATTCCAGTAAACTCTAGTGATGGCGCAGGGTAAAGAGAATTGGCTTAGTTATAAATACTGTTGATAGTTAGAAAAAGCATATTGATTTTTCCATACATAACCCAAAATGTCTCTCAAGCTCTGAGTTCTAGCACCTGTACTATCTTTCTTTATTCAGTAATCTCTATAACGAGCATGGGAGGAGGCTGAGGAATTTGACCTTTATACATAAAGCAATGATGTATGAGCAAATGGTGAATATCCTAATTCATCTTTCATTCAAAATTATTTGGCAACTGATAATAATCAGTTTGGAAAATAATCTTTGGCATATACGCTGTACTTTTACATTTTCATTTCACACACAGATCATATGTGAAATATACTTCTATTCCGTGATTGGGTGAACATAGTTATAATCCAGCCTTGATAGCAAATACTTCACAGTCTATTCAGTCTACATAGGGCACTTCTTCCTCTAAAAGGAAGGCTGCTGTTTCTGCAGAATTCCTTAGCAGAAAACTCATTTGCCAACAGAAAAACAAATATAGTCAAAGCCATTTTTGTTTAATACTTCTTTAAAAGCTAAAAAAAGTCAATTTTTATTTCTAAGCATAATTAGTAAACAGACTACTTATTATTGTTTAACTTTTGTTTAAAAACTAGCCAACACTAAAGGTTTCTGTTGTATAGTTCTCAAAGGTCAGACTTGAAAGCTTAAACTTCAGGTTCTATTGAGATAAAGGCACTGTGCTTTGCAAAGTTATGCTATTATCCCTGGTTATAATCTTCACTGACTTCAGAAATAATTGCTTTCCTTAAAGAAAGAGGAAGTCTGATTCTAATTTGCTATCTAGATCTACATTCTTATATTCTTTTTATAGATTTTTGAACAAGTTATCACTGGAATCTTCCTTCACTCAAACATAAGTGAAAGTTTTATCTTACTTCAGATATCACAAAAATAATTTATGACTAAGGAAACAAAACCTTTTGTCTCACAATATATTTCTTTGCGACAGCTGTGGTATTTCACTGAAAGCACAAAAGCTGTGATGGTCTGGACTGCAATCAACCATTTTTAATAGGAAATTTTTACAGACTTTTAATAAGATCTCCTAACATAATTTATGGGGAGAGGTTTTGAAGTGAAGAGGCATTGTTTGGCAAAGTGTTCTTCCTCTAATCTCAGGAAATTTAAATAATCGAGTGTTCATTTCCTCTAAACTTAGGATTTCACCTAAAAAAAAAGGTTAAGAAAAACACCTGCTATACTAGCAGCAAAGTATGTGTATCAAGAGCCCAAACAAAATATATTTCTAAAGGCTTTCCAAAGGCAAAATGCTCCATGCTCCCATGCTCAGTATCCGATATTATTGATAATAATGCAATATTGAATTTTTCTTCTTAAACTCAGAACGTTTCGTAAATATTTTGAATGAAGATAGCATGCTGGTCAAGACAATTGCAGGTATTGTTTTGCAACAGATATAGTCGGGGGAATTGAAATAAGTGGGCCAATGTGGAGAATTTACAGCTTATAAGAAAACCAGATAAGCGCCCAAAAGTGACTATACTTACTGAAGTCATCCAGAATTCCTCCGACTACAGAACTTGGCTGGAAGAATAAGGACAACAGGCTTCCCCCTGAGATCTCTGATATGTCTTGCAAGAAGAGGCTCAAAGGGTATTTTAGCACTTTCCCTCCAGTCCCAGCCAGCACAAGGGAAAAAACAGAAACATAAGTAGGAAGCACATTTCTCTACATTGATAAAGCTAATCAAAGCTCCTGAATAGGAAACCGATCTAGCTTGGCTGATTGGGATTTTGGATGAAGTTCTGAACTATCTTTTACCCTTTCTGTGTAGCTCTGAGTAAAATTCTGCCTTAAAGTAATAGCTGACCCGTGTTCCCCCACTCTAGGTTGGTTAGAACATCTCTGCCAAACGATGGCATTTGGAGAGAGGAAGGAAAAGTGAGCGGCAAAACCTTACACGGAAGGACTCACGAACGGCTCAGGCACAGTCAGTCACAGTGCCCGGGATTCGTCCAGCTCACTGTGTGCCACAGACCTCAAGAGGGCACTCAGCACAAAACGTACCGCATTGCACGAGTGACAGGGGTCTACCATTGGCATTGGCACGGCTCACAGAAGGCAGTTATCCTTATCCAGTTTTCCAGAGAGCCAACTCAGCCTTTATCTCGTCACTACAGATACAGAACTGTAAAAAAAAAAAAAACACAACAGAAAAAGAAACTCTGAAGAGGTAAAATTATGCCATTGAAGACTCTGTACTTTTTTTCTTTATTTAAGAATATGTGTTTCATCAACACTTTTAACAAAAGATGATCAGTTTCTAGAGTCAACCCTAAACCCTTTATTTTCAAAAGCTGTCTGTTGGTTTCAAAGAGCTACTGCCTCCATAAAAACTGCTTTTGAAGATGTGTCACCTGAAGAACTTTATTTTCTTCAGTTGCTACAGTCAAAGCATGTAGGACAGAATATCACTTCATTAGACTCCATCTCTCTCTTTCTCCCTCTGGTTTGCCTACAGAAATCAACCAAAACAGTTTACAGTGGGTGCCAGTCAAAATTAATCTCTTCCCTTCAGCAATCAAGACTCGCTTGGATGTTTCTTTCTCCATGTGTGTGCATACACACACCCGCCCCCGTACACAGACACAGACACACCAGCCCATTCTGGAATCGCAGTGGCCTCCTTTGGGCTCCTGCTCTGGCCAGCCCTCCGGCAGGGCTCCCAGCCCACCCGGCAGCCCTGCCTGCTCCCCAGCCCTGCTGCACCGGCCCTGGCAGGCTCCGCAGGGACCTCTGGCTCCCTCGGCCGAGCTTTAACCCCATCCGCGCCCACTTTCTGAACCAGCTTCCCAAACTGCAGATGGGACTATGAACAGTTGCCTCGTTTCCACAGAGATGTCATTATTGCAATAAAACTGAAACCCATTCTTCCACTACATCCTCTTCACATTGGTAGTTTCACAGAACACATACTGCCCCCTTTATACTCGGAGTGGACTTCCTGATGCACAAGTTCAAATCCCAGCTACCATCTATCATCTTAATTCTTCTGGGACAAATAAAGTATCATGCAACATACCATATGTGGATATTCTAGCCGAGCTCTTTAGAGTCGTGTCCTGTCTACGCAGTGTGATCAACAACTATTTTGGTTTTGTGTATTTAGAATAATGCATGACAAACCTCCACCTGGGTTCACTACCTAAACAAAAAATAGACACTGAGGTTGGGAGTCAATTCCCTATGTAACCTGGGCCATTTATCTTCCCTGGGGGATCTGAGACATCTGCAGAGGAATCTCAGACACAGCACAGGATCTATAGCAGACTCAGGGCAGCCTGAGCCACGTAAAATATCCCAGAACGCAAACTGGCACCAGGCATGCACTTCAGCACCTGAAACGTCTCCTAAATACCTGTGCAAATTGCATGTATGATGTATCCCTATTCCCCCAGTGTTCTGGAGGCCAAGTTACCTTTATTCTCACAGGACTGTATCAAGCAGTACTGGATGAAAGTCATCTGCACTTTCAAAATCCTTAAAAAATCAGATCCCTTTCCAGATTAGGCACACAAAAGAGAGACCTATCTCTATGCCTATCTACAACTTCCAGAATGATGACTTCTGAAATACAAAATGACTATCAATCAGACAGTATTAAAATATTCTTTTTAAAAACACTTCTAGTAAAGACACCTGATCAGTTAAAGTAGGGGTATTATTTTAAAAATACTACCCAAACTAGTATAAATTAACTAGCCAGGATTTGGATTATAGAAAAATTAAGAGTTGAAGTATTATTCAAAAGTAATACAAGCATGTAGATGATCAAAACTTAATTTGAGTCATGAACTTTACTAAAGGCAGTGTAGACCTTTTTCAGGTTCATTGTGCTCAGTGCTGTGGAAGCTCAGAAGCAGGTGCCATCCCTGCTCTGGTTATTAGACTCAATAACTAAGTCTAGTCATTATTTGGTCAGGTTTCTAGGTGAAAACAAAGCAAAAATTGAGGTTTGTGTACAGAAGTCCTACTAACTTAAGGAATTTAGGTGAGTTTAAAAGATGCTTTTATCTCTGTGAATTACAAAGGGTATAATGATAATAAGGTGATGTGACTAATAATTATTAAATCTTTACTGATAAAAGGTTGAAACTGCTAGTACTTTCAATATCTTCTTCATATTTTATGTAAAACCTGTATAGAAACATTTCCCAAAATGTTCAGTGATCTGAAACAAAACCAGGTTATGGACAGAACCACGCTATGTGTGTCAGTTGTGATACGAATGTGTAAAACTCAAGAGTACAGAGCCAAGAGACGCAAAGCCTGTCCTGCAAGCTCACAGCATCCCCCCAAACCTCAGACTGTGACTTCTATTCCTGCAAATTGCCCAGTAATTCCACAGCAGAATTAAGTTTCTTCAGCTTTTGCAGAAGGGATGGAACTCCCACTCCCCAGCCAGTGAAGCTGAGTTCATCAAGATTTGTTTTACTGAGGAATGAAAAATTTTCATAGGGAATTTCCAGGACAACAAAAACAGCACCTGCTATTTTTTAAGCACAGCAGCTGTCTGGAGTGGCAATCTTTAGTCTATACATCCCCTGAGTCCATTATCAATTGCTAGTTTTTCCTAGTTACCTTCCAATATATTGGCAAACTTCTTTGAAAACTCCAAGGCTGCCATCAATATTCAACGAGTCTCCAAAGTTTGTGTGCACTATTTCTAAATACTAACCACTGAGCATACCAAATATCACTGTTACGGCTCCTTTTTATTTGTGTTTCCATATTTATTGCTAAAATCTCATTTGTAAAATTAGGGGCTAAATCAGTGTTTCACTGACAGCAGGGCAATGGCTCTTTTCGCTAAACAGTCTCAACACCAGGAAAGCCCTCAGTGGTATGAGCAATAAATCAATATAGTTTTTTTTTCATATTGCAGATTATTTATCTGGACTCCTGAAGCACAAAACACTATTTCTGGTCCCCATTAATGGTATCTCATTTAGTTATTTTACATTGGGGACAGGACTATGAAACACCATACCATCACATGCTCTAATGTAAACAGCACAAAACGCAGCACCTAGTACCAGCCTCAAATTTCTCATTAGCAATCACCTCAGCTCTCTTCCCCCGGCACTTCAAAACTCCATTACTGGTTGTCAGACTGTGTTTCTCCAAAGAAATATTTATCTTGAATTGCTCAATGACTTTTAGGGTAATAAAAAGTTCTTAATTACTTTCTAGCCAGTACTGTTACATAGCAATAACAGGCCATCCACGAAGCCGCCTCCTAAAACCCTCCAGCTCTTACTAAATAACTCTTTAGAAAATATTTAACCCAAATAGTTGCAAACCCAAGTGTTTTCTAAATTTCTGTATCTTGTGAACACTTAGCATAAGCATGTGGAAATAGAAGTTTGCTTGTGGTTTTCTTTCCTCTCCACCTTTCATTTTAGCCTTTCTAATACGGGCAAAGTCAAGCTATGTCCCTGTCCCTCTGCCAGAGGTGTTGAATATGAAATTTCTTACTCTTCAGCTGAAAAAACGTGCAAGGCATGGGTGAAACCAAGTCATTGTTTGTTACTTTTAGCTGGAGCAGGAGCCCAGGTGATGCCAAGACAAACGCAGCGGCAGGCTACCAGCACCTGGTCTGGAACTTTCTGCCACCAGGTTTCACTCCCAACATCCCTAAACTGTCAATTATGTAAACTCTGACAGGAAAAAGGACTAGGTAAGAACTTACACTTTTGGGGGCGGGGGGAGGAACTACTCCTCCTTTAGGCGGAGAGGGAAAAAACTTTCCACACGGCAACAGCGCTGGGACAGGGGCGCAGGCGGGAACGCCTGGCCGGAGCGGGCCGGCCGCTCCCG